GTCGGACTCTGGGCAAAACGGCTCTTTGGATATGAAAGGTTGCAGACCCCTGTGTTAGAGGTTTAGATAATGCTGCTTTATTAAATATCAGTTTACATCTGTTGGCACTAATGGGTTTCCCAATGAACTTTATGAAGAGATTTGCTTCCTTCCTTTCTTCCCTTTGATCTTGAACCTATATTGAAAGTCTGTGTGGTGCTGAAGCACCTAAGACGGCACTGATATCATTTATCCCCTCAGTTCAATACGTTTCCCTCTCATCCTCCTCCACCCACCCAGCTTACCTCCTCCTTTTCGCTGCCCTGTAAGTGTGTGAGGTACTGAGTGTTTTTTTTTCCTCAATTCAATAGCTCTGTTTAATTCTCAAAGCTTCAATGACACCAAGGTTTAAAAAATAAGAAAAAAGAGAGGAGAAACCTCCATACTGTTAGTATTTTATTACGCTGTCAACTATAGAAGAGAAATTAAATTTAGGAGGGAAAATGGTGATTTCATTTCTCATGCCTGGCTTTTTCCCTCCCTTACTTGTGGCATTCTGTGCTTTTTTTGTTGTTGCTTCATCTCTTTGAATTTCTTCTTGCTGTCTTTAATTTTTCTTCAGACTCCACACCCCCCCCTCCCTCGTTTTCTCATCTGCTAAGCCAGCAGTGAAAGTCTTTTTTCGAACCTCTTGTGTCAGCAGCGCTGTCAAACCTACACACTGCTTCCTAACTAAATATTATTCCTCCCTCTTTCTTTTTTTTCCATCAGTTTTCCTGTCTGTGATTCTCCTCCTCCTCCCCTTTAAGTAGACACTGTCCATTTATTAACAATTGTTTTCTTTTTGCTTTCTTTCAGTCCCCTGGTATTATTTAAAAAAAAAAAACCCTTTGCACCATTGGTTGAATTCTTATTTTGCTAGTCGCACACTCTTCTTTGCATCCTCATAACCAAAAGCTCTCAGCTCTAGGTTTGTTTTAGCAGCAAATTTGTAACAACCCATTAGCTGAATGACTGCTGACAACAGAGCTACAACTGCTGACTCCTAAGCCTACACTAACTTTAAACAGAGGTGGTGGACTCAGATTCCAGCTTCCAAAAAACGTACAATAATTCAGTTATAGAGATGATCCCTTCCAGATATCACCACACCCCCCTTTAACGGCCGACCTTCAGAATCATAGACAGGTTTCAGATATTACAGGCTAACAATGGAACCAAACGACCCACTCATTGGTTTCCATTTGCATGTTTCCAAGCAATACAAGGCCTTGTCTATATAAAGACTCAAACTCACTGCGGATCCAGACATTTGAATTGAGAAAGCTTCCTGGAGAGGTGGCGAAATGTCTTCAAATCTGGGAAACCAAGTCCAGTGGATTTTATTTTAACTTTTACGGAATGACTATGACCTGGATGACTGAGAATCTTCATCAGCAGACTAATTCGTACCTACAGGCTATGAATTTAAAAGGAAATAAACAAAAAAAATCCATACACGCTCAACCAGCCACACCTAGATTCATTCAAAACTCATACTGTACATGACAGCTAGCTTCAGATAAATGAGTCACCTTGATGAACTGTTTTAAGCTACCAAGTCAGGGATTAAAGCCGCTATGTGACAGGAAAAGTAAAGGAGCTTTCCATTTTAATGGAAACTTGGAAGTCTGAGTGACAGAGCTTTCCAGTTTCCTGCTTGTTGCTGTTTGTATTCCCCATTGTTTGCATGTGGCCCCTACGGTTAACGTTACCATCACAATGACAGAAACACTGGCTCATGTGGTACTTTATGCTAGTGTTGCGCCGATGTTATTTTTTGGCCACAATACCCGATACCTCGCTGTGCAGTATTGACCGATACCATCTGTCTGAAATTGATGTGTGTGTATATATGAAGAACTGCACGCTACTTGGATGTAAAATAATTGCCATCATGGCTTTGTCAAGCTGCTACCTACCTTTGTGAAGCCAGTAGAACTTTTTATTGCCTACCTGGAAAGGGTGACAATAGTTGAATAAAGTTTTGGCTCTCAAAATGGTATCGGTGCCCTATTTGCTTGTACTCGCCGATACCGATGCCACCGTTTTAGTGTGGTATCGGTATCGGGACAACACTACTTTATGCCTATAAAAAGCATTTACCTAACTTCTTATAAATAGCTATGAGTACACATAAGACTGCCTAAGTGTCATGTAAATAAGAAACTACAAAAAAGTTAAAGTAGAATTTATTCCTTTAATGCAGAAGGTAGCCATCATGGATGAGGAAGTCTTCTATGGTACTTGGAATTTCAACTTTCCATTTCATTATTCCTACTCCGAGGTTGTATATTTCCTTTAAAAATAGAACACACCATAACATTTAGTTTGTTCCCATTTTTGATATAAACTCCAATGTTTACCAAAGCTGAAGACTGTTAACCCTAACCCTATTATTTGTACATCATTTGTAAATATAAAGTGGAGTCGTGCGATTGAGGTTTATACCAAGGTACAACTTAATGTAAGTTCTTTGCATTGCTTTAATTAACTTCCTAGCTTGAATATATTTGCTGCTTCAGATTTTGGCAAATTTTAGCGAGCAAAGACAAAAGAGGAATTAAGCAAGGATCACGGAGCAATGCGGACTTTGGTTTTTAAAACATAAGGTTATATATCTACAGTGTCAGGTAAACACTTCTTTAATTTTTCCTCCATGAAATGGGTATATAACATATGTATATATACACATGTGTGTACATGTGTGTGTGTATATATATATAGATATAGAAACAACTTTGAAAGCAAGTCTGTCAGCTGGCTGTGAATCGGTAAACTTTTTCTTCTGACATATTTATGCAAAAAGGTTTAATACAGCACTACAATTGTCAAATAAGTTTAAACAACACCCTTTCAGTCCTTACCTTTACTTTATGTTAATTCCCTCAAAAACACTCAGCACTGACCAAGTGCTTTGAGGCTATCAACAGCTTTCATGCCAACAAAACTTGAATTTTTTTCTTTTTCAGTGTAAATCATTTGCACTGCTATATATCTGAATGGCTTATTTAGAAAAAACGACATCATGAATTGTTCTACCGATGGTAGAAGGAATGTTCCTTTGAATTTAGGGGAAGTAAATTATAGTTATCTGTAATGGACATCTTACACGGTAGTTATTGCTGTAATGGGACGCCATAGGACGATATTTATCACCATTGTCTTGCACAATGAGGCAGGACGTGTGACCTCTTCTAATACAATAAAGCCCAGGATTATTCTTAGTTTAGAAATGGTACTTGTATCCTAAAATATTTCAGACTATTGAATTTCTCGGCTCCTGCTTGCGTTATCAGGCTTGCCATCCCGTGGAGCTCACATCAACGCAGCCTAGCTGCTGGAAATGTTGTCCTGATGCTTTAGACGGTGAAATAAACATCTTATTGCCTGACATTTTTCAGAATCCCAAAAGTTTGACAAGCCTTCAGGGCTTTATTACAGTTTCTATGCTGTAACCGAACAGCAGTTTGCAGTTTTGCACAGAAGCCTTTTTCCTTGCACTGAATGGAATTACAAACATCTTTGCTCTTGCATTGCTCTTTCTATTCATGTCTCTGCTTCCACACATTCATCTCTTAACAAGTTTTTTTTCCTTAGTTTTTCAGATTTTAAATGCAGCTATTCCTCCCCAACTCATCCACATGAACAAACTGATTTCTCCTCCAGGTTTCGATGCTCTCGGAGACCTGTTAAAGCCCACAGTCACCGCGCACACCGCACCACCTCCCCCTCCTCAAATGGCCATTCATCCTGGAGGAAAGCTGCTAGCCAATGACCTCGACTCTTCTCTGGCCAACCTTGTGGGCAGTGAGTGCTGACACACACAAGCTAGTTAACAAAGGGAGAAACGGAGTTGGAATATCTGTGCAGCAGCTGGAACAGTTATATAACTTTACAGATTCAACACCAGGCCTTGAATATTTATAAAGCACTGCACAGAGTTCCTGTTAAAAACAAGTCCAGAAGATATTTCTTTTTCATAACTTATCTGGATTCTTCACCGCTTTTTTCCACCTGATTATTTTCCCTGTTTCTACTCCTTCCTCAGATCTGCAATTTGGAGGAAGTGCAGCCAAGAAGTAAGTCTCTTCACTTGTTGGACTAAGAAATACTAGAAAACCTTTGTTTTTCCTTCAGGTATTATATGTATTACTTTTGTTTTTGCGGTGTTTTGTTTGTACTTCAACAGGCCAGAGATGCAATGGAACCAGCCTGGGGAGAAGAAGCTGACCGGTGGCCAAAACTGGCAAAATAAGACCATGTCGACCACACAGTGGGGCCCCGCTCCCATGGCTCCACAGCCTATGCCTGTGCAACATGTGGTAAGAACTGCTGAGCATCCTCGGTGGGCGGCGTGATAACGACAGTATAGACGCATTATCTGAAGGATCTATCAAGGTGTCTTCAAGTTCTCCAAGTTCTAGGGAAATAATATTTAAATAACAAATCATTCTGGCTTAAACATCTATATAAATGTACTCTTTATCAGACTATATTGTCTGGTTGTTTGTCCAAATTTTGAAAATTTCTGCTTTAAAAAAAATCCTGTCTTAAATCTGTAGTTTTTTTTCCATTATTTTATGCAGGCCAGTTAGTTATACATCAGCCTGTACATCTAAATTCAGCCAATCATATATCAACGGTCATCTGTCGATCAAATTTTTCAGTCATAGCATCTTGATTCGTATGTCGCAGCTAATATACGCAAAAATAAGAAATAAGAATAATTTCTTTTCCCATGGAGTTCCGTCCCAGTGTTCACGGGGATGGACGTCTGTGTCTTCAGCAGGTGTAGAGCTAACAGAACTGGCAGCGTTGCGAGGCAAGGGCTCAAACATGTACGGCTG